GACCCTGCAATAATCGTAAACACTAAACAAGGGTAGACATATTTCTAGTTTAACTACCTGAAGATTTTCTGTATGACTTATGCGTAACTCTCCACCTATTATCTCATTTTGTAGTTGAGGCCCCTTCATCTGAGAATTGTTTACGTCTTCGTTTCTTTCCTAACCACAATGTTACATTTTGACAGTTGTTCGGTCCTTTCAGTCCGGGAACAGTCCGCTGTTGTTCCATTGCTCCATTGCTCCTCTCGAACTTTGTGTTCCGCGTCCAAGTTGAAGAAGCTTCACTTTTTGGTCGTAGCTCTGTTGAGAAGCACGCATTTTGCGGATCTTTACGCCAAATGAAGTCTAAGCGTTCTTCCTTTTTATGTGGATGTGGGAGACGGGAGTCTTCGACGCTTTTACGGCGTTCTAGCCGACACTTTTAGGCCACACTCCAACAGAGGTAAGCAATTCGGCTTGCGTTAAAATGGAACCCAGCGCCATATTTTTTTATTTCAGGCCTTTTTCATCTTCTTCCAACTTTTTCATCTTCTTCACCTTACTTTTCTCCACCAAACGAGTGCTGATACCTTCAGATGAAGCCCTGACGACTTTTCCACGTCCTGCCCCGTAATGAGAGTTCCAAGCAGCCCCTGAGGAAGGGAGCTGATTCAGCTGTTGCCAATGTCCACAGACGCCATGTGCTGAAACCCCGTGGAACTGCATCTATATACTTAAGCAGCTAATTTCACTTAATATGAATTATTTATCCTAACTTCACAGCTGGTGTGATCCCGAGGGTATGCATACCTCATTTGTTACTTTTTCGAATTTTAATTTTTGCTCTTACAGAATGGTCAAAAACGCAAATTTTAGTTTTTCTCAAAAATTTCAAATGCATCAACCTGTATATTTGTGCAAGTTTTTATTCAATCAATTTTTTTTTTATACTAGAGACATAACGGTTTTTACGGCTATTTTTTCGGTTATTTGCACGTCTTTTATGGAACGGCTTAATTCGCTAAAATATCGCGCTTCGCCTTTGGAAACAAATAAATTGTTGATTAGCTACAAACTATCAAAATTAGCTTTGTGAGCATTATAATGAAAACGTGTTTGAAAATGAATTTTTCTAAAGAATAAATGGTGAACACGTTCGTTTTATAAGCAACGGTACCCTAATATGCGACATCCAAGGCCGGAAATATTTTCCACACTACGAGAACGTTTTGAGTCAAGTGAAGCAGTGGAATATAGTAAAAAATGTATAAATAATAGAAGTGTCACCAAGCTGGCAAATCAGTTGGAGGTTCTATTAAAGTTGCAAGAAAATCCCCATTTAAGTGCACGGCAAATTGGAGCAGAAACTGACATATGCAGAACTTGTATCATAAGGATTATTCATAAGCATAGGTACCATCCATATCACATATGCTTGCATCAAGGCTTTCGTCCTCAGGATTTCGCAGCTCGAATGGGGTTTAGTAGAATAATGCTAAATAAGGTGAGTGAAGACACTACTTTCCGGGATAAGGTTCTTTTAAGCAATGCGGCAACTTTTAACAGCATATGTTCTGTCGACAGGCATAACACTACTATGCGTCGCAAAATCCTTACTGGGTTAGGCAAATAGATTTCCAAAATAAATGGAGCTTGAATGGTTGGGAGGAGTTATTGGCAGACAAATTATCGGGCCTTTCTTTTTCGACAACAGATTAACAGGTACATATTACTTGAATTTTTGATCGAGTATTTTCTTTACGATGATGTCAACCTGCAAACTTGGATGCATATGTACTTCCAACATGACGGCGCACCTGTGCATTACCACAATCGTGTGCGTAACTATTTGGACACCTGGAGTAACAATCGTTGGATCGGTCGTAATGGGCCTATATCTTGGCCTCCTAGATCACCAAATATGACATCGATGGACTTCTTTCTATGGGGCTACGTTAAGAGGTTTATAGACATCCACCATCTACCCCGAAAAATATGAAGGTAAGGATTAAGGATGCTTTTCTGAACATAAGGGAGCACGTGTTGAGAGATGTGCACCTGTTATTTATCCAAAAACTACGGCTGTGTGTTCATCATGGTGGAGATATTTTTCAGCAGCTTTTGTAGATTAAGTCTTGAGTAGTACTAGCTGTTCGTTTATGTTGTTGTTATAGTTGTTTTTCTCTATTACGCTTGAAGCTGATTTATAGTGTTATTAGTCTTTATGCCAAATTTTTGAGAACACGTACAATTCGCGTTTTTGACCACCCTGTATGAGCAAAAATGAATATTGGAAGAAGTAACAAATAAGATAAAAGCTGAGGTTTTTAAGTATTTTGATACAAAATTCAGCACTCCAAATTTCAAAATGGCGGATTGAGGGGTTGCAGAAGCGGACGGTTTTTCTAGAGAAAACACCTCACATCTCAGTAGCTAATTACCAAAACCCCATAGTATGCTATATCAATCTTCTTCTTTTGAATTATTTATCCAAAGATGCAATAAAATTTGAGGCAATCCATTTAAAAGTAACAACTTTGGATATGTAGGTCATAATTCTGACAACCTGTATAATTGCAATATTTTAGAAGTGCGCCCTCAAATGTCATGTATAACATGACAAAATGTATTGTTTATCAGTAAATATTCCGTCCACACTGGATGGGCCACCCTATATATATATATATATATATATATATATATATATATATATATATATATATATATATATATATAATTACAGCGTCATATTTACGTTATTTAGATGAACCCTCTTGTTGGTGTCCTACTGCACCCATATACATACAAGCAAATAATGACGCCAATTACTGTACTATACGTAGTAGGTGATTACGTTCTAGCAAGTCTCAGCGAGAGATAATTCCTTTGGTCACGTTTGCAACTCCTTAATACAATACGTTATACTCATTTCGTAAACATGTATTATGATCTATTAACTCCCAATGGTTCTCTCCGCCAATGTAACCATTGCAATGTTTTTTTGAGTATTCGCTAGTTATTTGTCCTGGGAGATGCACTATAGTATATGTTGATACCTTATCTGTTAGTCTACTTACGTCACACGAGCCCACCCTTGAGCTGCAAACTCCTGTCCAACACCCGAATGCATCAGGAAATGGGTGGCCCTCACATTTCCAGAGTCTATCTACATACCCAGTAAAAATGTTCGTTGCATGAATAGACTGACCTAATGTGGGACCTGCATACAAGTATTGCAATACAAATAGCCAAACAAAATGTAGTGCCACCGATTTCTTGTACTATAATTGAGTAGCAGACTTTCATAAACGGCTATGATATGTTTCAGATAAATTGAGAAATGTGGCAAAAACTGCCGAAAAGCAGCGGCAAACATACTACAAAAAAGGATTAACCGAAGAATATCAAAATTTCGTTCTTTGACCAAAAATGTATTTGTTTAATGCGCTTGTTTGTCAAATGAGAATCCTTTTGTTTGGGAAGCGGTAGCTTATCCCAAATTATTTTTCATTTACCGATACAATGTTGTCTTAGAAGTACATTAAAAGAAAAACGATCAAACTTTCCCGCCGTCATCTTCGATGCAGTTACATACTCCTTGGGCATTTTCTTCATCACTAATCTCTTGCAGTTATTCAAGATGCTCTGAGAAACTTTGAAGAAGCCATTGCAATTCTTCATCAACACGCCATCTTTCTGTAGATAATTGCACTACAAGTTTATGCAGATTTTTCAACTTTTTCCCTTTTATTTCATGATTTAGATACTTGGCAGTGGCATCACCGTTTGTGTAAAAGATTTCTATTATTACAGCTTCTTGTTGTTTTGGGTCCGTTTTATCAAGATTCGCTTAGCATGACTGATTCGATCGATTTTGTTGAAGGTAGACATAGCGGATATCAAACCATGTGTGCTCTGGGGTCTAATAAGCTTCTCACATCGTCCAAAAATGTGGTCCGCTGGCAAGCACATCGTTGGCATGTGAACTAAGTGTGTGTTCTTGATTTGGCCTCCACAGTATTCAATAAACGACTTCAATTCTTCTACATTTTCTGGAAGTTCATCTTTCTAAGAAAGTCGTAAATGGCAGAGCCAACTTCTGTGGCGCTCCTTCTAGCTTGGTATTCTAGCCATGAATAGAAAATTGATACTTGCGTGGTATGTTTGTGATACGAAAAACATACAAGAAGAGTATGTCTGTGGTACAAAAAAAACATAAATGGCGTCTGAAATCGGGACTTTAGGGACAGATTGTACCCGCTAAAAATCGAAGCAGAATGCCATACCGTTTTTTCTGCACCATGAAAAAAAAATGCTTAGCTCTCAATTTATGTACCTTTAGATTTGTTATAACGGTCTGCTTTTCACATTGGAATTTCACCAAAGAGAGCAGGCTTATCTGCTGCCTACAGAATCCGCAAACGTCGATGGCAGGGATACCGAATCCTATGTTAAAGTCATTCAAAAATAAAAAATGGACTAAAATACTTGTAGTGCACTTTATATCTTTATCCGATGCTATAATTGAATACTCTGTTCAGTATGGTTATGTTGCACTCTGAGGATAAATATGTTCTTTTAGATTTCGCGTTTCCGTAGTAACTCTCTTGACTCCCTTAAGTTAGCAATGGATGATTTTACTTTTGTACGTTTTTCCACATTTTTCTGTCAGCGCCGTTCTCCATCGCGAGTCTCAGCAATACCAGATCCAGCTTTCATTTGCCCAGAAATAGTTTGTATGCGCTTCTGACCACTATCAAAAACTCTTAAAACATTTTCTGGCAAATTGTTTTTTTTTGCGGTTCTTAGCAGATGTTTGACCAGATCGTTTTTTTCCAGTTCCAATTTCAATCAAATGAGACAATGTCGTATCCTGTTAACCATGTCTTTTTGTGAGCAAAACTTTTCTCGGAAGCGTCTAAAACTTTCGACAGGAATATTTTTAATGCAAGTTTTTTGTTTTTGCCGTGCGTAGAGGGAACTTCGAACCGTAAAGTTCACACAAACTGTGAGAAGATTCCCTCAAATAACATAATTCAATATACCGCTGCCGCGATGTTACCCTCCATTGTCTCGATCAACTATATGCTCTTCATCCATGAGTAACGCTTTGCCAACTGTGCAGGATACGACACGATTAAAATAATACGGCACGTGCCCAAAGAGAAGGCTATACTAACCGCCTATACAAAAAATCTGAACTAACAAGTGTAACAAAGTCTATTTGTTTGTCCATACATGGAGATAAACGTATACATTCCAGCGACATCTTTTGTCCAATTTCAAAAAAACTATTCCTGACGCCCTTTGAAAGTCTGCTCCTCTATTATAATTTCCTACTAATGTTAACATGTATGGAATATTGTGGCGTCAGCAGATTTCGTCGTCATTTTTCATAATCCAGATTTCGTTTTGGCATTCCAGTTCAGCCATTTAATCCTGAAGCTCTTTTATAGTAGAATCATTATGGCATCGTATAACATTCCCGATAATCAATGATTTGGCATTACCGCCAAGAGCCTGTGAGAGCAGTCTAGTCAATTTCGAATCGCGATAACTGATAAACTCCTTACCCTCGCTTAGTTGCCTTATCACATTTCCTAATACTGACAAAGATTTGTTTATGTTAGCCCCCTCTTTAAGACGCTCACCAGCAGCTTTCGTCAGAGAAACTCTCTCAGAACCAGCTAAGTCCATTAAGTTAAGGTAGCTTATATGTACAGGTCCATCTTTCTGATTGGCATCTTTCGACTCCAGAATAATCCGGAAAATCGTGTGTGATCGAGATGACCTCTCATTCATGCGAGTAGCTGCAACTCGTCTGATCTTATTGCTCTGCATCATGTTCTCCATAACTTGATCAACATTGTCTACGACAGCTTCCCTTGCATCAAGCAGCACATTTCCTTTGATATCTTCTCTTATAGTTAAACCCTGATTGCTCTTATCCAGGAGGTCATTGATCTTTTCATTGTAGATTTCAATATAACTGAATCTAATCAAGTACCTCTTATCAACCTGGTCTGCCACATGCTGGAATAACTGATTGGATACTAATTGGAAAAGCCCAGGATCTGTTTTATTGCCCAAAATGGTGTGTGTTTTGCCAGAAGATGTTTGGCCTTATGCAAATATTGTTGCATTGAAACCTTCCATGAAGGAATCGACTAAAGGTTTTACTACAGATCCATATACATCTGAATTTGTACATTCCTGGTTAAATACATGGTCGAATATATAAACCTCTCCATGGCGACTACTTTCATCGGCTTCCCATATGCAGTTTTCTCTTACGTTCCAAAGACGCTCTAGACCATCGGCTACTTCGCGGTGGATCATTGGTCTGATCTTTATGGCTACTTTAATATTGTCGGAAGTCATTTTGGAAGCTTGAACTGAAATTTAATTAGAACTAGGGCTATTTCACGGGTTATAAAGAGGGGCAGATGTATCAGGATGATACATTCTTTTTTTCCTCCTTTCCAGTATAGAAGATTTTTTTCTCTTGTAGGCTATGAATGAGGTCCGATAGTTTAGTAGAGCTACATTTACAGGGTGACTCAAAATCAAAGAAGAAACAGAATTGTTAAATTTCATATAGACTGTTATTGTTATTACAAGACGAAGTTGAAGCAGCAGCAAATTCTCACAAATCTATAGATCCATCACTTTCAGCACCTGATTTTTCAACTTGAAAAATGCAGCTCGGTGAAGAATCACAAGGTAACTGTTGTCTATTCAGACAATACTCTTCTAAAAGCAACGCGAAGTTACCTAGTGCCTTACATGAATCGCCTTCATAATTCTTCATTATTGTCAATGGAAAACTGAAATTGTTGATTATTACAGTTTTTAATGCTGCAAATAAGCAGATGGGGTTCGTGTTGGAAATCCCACGTCTAATCTCGCAAAACAGGTTATCCACCGGATCTTACTATCAACTTCTGAAATGCCATTACTCTTTTTAGCCATGTGTACAACAGGTTTGTACGCATAAAACACTCTTACATGAAAACTGTTTATTGTCTAAAAACGAAAATACCCCATTTGAAGATGAGTAATGCAATAAATATAATTTACGAAACTTGAATTGTAATATGAACATAAAAAAACTAACAAAATGGGCCATTTAACAACATATTTGGTGTTGATATTCTACAACAATAACAAATACTTTCTCGTATAAGGAAACGTACAATAATTCACATTTATCACTTTTCACGAAACAATGTAGCTGCGCTGTGACTTTACATACTTATTACAGATTGTAGAACATTTTTTTCATTGTGTATTGTCATGTATCACCTACGTCGTTTTTTTCCCTTTAACAATTGCATCAGGATCGAGAACTCTGGGCTGAGAAGTAGACGGCTTACTTTATTCGTCGTTGGTAATTTAGGATTCTTTGCATGGCTGAACGAAGCTCCCTAGGAAGTCTTGGATCTGATAAACGTCCTCTCATACGAAGTTAAATTAGAGTTTGCCTCAGGGGAACAATAAAATTTCGTCGCCTAATAGAACTTTCAGTCCCAGACTGAAAAAAAAGGAATTTACAGAAGCTGGTTGGATACCAAATAGCACAAGGCCATCTTCTCGTTCTCTAACCAGTATTGTAATTTACACACTTCCGATCTAATGCATTACCCCCCGCCTTCATAGTGTTATAAAAATAATATAGAATCTTATCAGGTTTCTTTGATTCCTCTACTATTTTGTTGTCATGCTGCATAGATTGCTATACGAGAACATGTGTATTTGGTTTTGGAAGATACTACACTAAGGCTGTAGTGCTAGTGAATATAAACTTAGAAGTTCCTGGCTGTGTTTCCTTCTTATTTGGAACTACATGTTGAGGTACTTGTTACTTATTTTTACGCTTCCTGCCGACATAGGTCAGTTGGTTGATGCGCAATTCTACGTGCAATTCTACTGACGTGAACCAGTCATCTGCTGTGATATTTCTGTTCGTATAGACGAAAGCATTGAGCAGGTAGTGGTGAGTCTTTGCATCATCAGTCCATACTTATTCGGTTTAGTTTTCTTGTAGGCATAGGAAGGACATCGGCCCACGAGCATCTCGTATTTTGTAGGGGACTCACCCGAAATTTAACAATTTCGACAGTTCTCTATGAGTGACTCGAAAATTTCACGTATTTGGAGAAATTTATCTGCATTTCTCGAGGCACAGGGTTATTATTTTCCAAATTGGTTGCCACGGACTTTAGTTCAGGTAAATGCGTAATAATATTGTCGTCTGGATCGACCAGTTGCAGGCGCTCGTTTTGACCAATTGTACATGTTTTTTCCATAAGCATAGCGAGGTCGCCCATAGGAAGTTGTTCAGGTTGATCGATAACAGCGTCGTCCTCGGCGTAATCTATGGTGTATTGTTCATCCGTCAACAACGAAAAAATCCATTGTGAGGGAAGTTCAAATCGTACACGCAACTGACATCCTCGGATCAAATTTGACCGCAAAGTCAACAAACCAACACTTGTGATGTTTAAATTAAACTGTGGTTTGAGGTATACGTGGTTATACCTTATGAGAAGTCACGGGACCCCACCACATAACTGAGAAAGCTCGAATCATCCGACGATACCATTAAAGGATTAATTTCTATATTCTTAAACGAATCTATAAAATCAAAGTGGCTGGGTTTCAATTTACATAGCTCTTTGTATGGTTTTGTTTGCTGATCAACATTATATGCTTTCTAGACATGTTCAAGCTGTGCAGCTTCTTCACTTTCATATTAATGTCAATAAGAGCATTTCATCCATTTTTGAATAAATGTTGTTCATCACAAATTGTAGAAATACTCTGAGCATTGACTATAAAATGGAATGGACTTGATCCGTGAGTATTCTCCGAGCAAATCGTCTCAAGTGCGTTTTTGATCGTTGCGCCCTGATTACAAATAGTGCCAACGACGCACAAACCAAGTCGCTGCAAGTTTGTGATCACATGAACAATAATCGTTTTCAGATCTGGGATTCTTGTATCTTTTACTAGATAATAAGCCACAACCTGCTTATAATTTTTACGAATCCCTCTTATCATGGAAGTAAGGGCATGATTTCTGATAAATCACTTTTACAGAGTTCTAGTTGATTTTGTTACCTCAGAATTCAAGATTTATTAGCTGAAAATTGTACACTGTAGGAACTGCCGTGACCCTGCAATAATCGTAAACACTAAACAAGGGTAGACATATTTCTAGTTTAACTACCTGAAGATTTTCTGTATGACTTATGCGTAACTCTCCACCTATTATCTCATTTTGTAGTTGAGGCCCCTTCATCTGAGAATTGTTTACGTCTTCGTTTCTTTCCTAACCACAATGTTACATTTTGACAGTTGTTCGGTCCTTTCAGTCCGGGAACAGTCCGCTGTTGTTCCATTGCTCCATTGCTCCTCTCGAACTTTGTGTTCCGCGTCCAAGTTGAAGAAGCTTCACTTTTTGGTCGTAGCTCTGTTGAGAAGCACGCATTTTGCGGATCTTTACGCCAAATGAAGTCTAAGCGTTCTTCCTTTTTATGTGGATGTGAGAGACGGGAGTCTTCGACGCTTTTACGGCGTTCTAGCCGACACTTTTAGGCCACACTCCAACAGAGGTAAGCAATTCGGCTTGCGTTAAAATGGAACCCAGCGCCATATTGGATTTTTATTTCAGGCCTTTTTCATCTTCTTCCAACTTTTTCATCTTCTTCACCTTACGTTTTCTCCACCAAACGAGTGCTGATACCTTCAGATGAAGCCCTGACGACTTTTCCACGTCCTGCCCCGTAATGAGAGTTCCAAGCAGCCCCTGAGGAAGGGAGCTGATTCAGCTGTTGCCAATGTCCACAGACGCCATGTGCTGAAACCCCGTGGAACTGCATCTATATACTTAAGCAGCTAATTTCACTTAATATGAATTATTTATCCTAACTTCACAGCTGGTGTGATCCCGAGGGTATGCATACCTCATTTGTTACTTTTTCGAATTTTAATTTTTGCTCTTACAGAATGGTCAAAAACGCAAATTTTAGTTTTTCTCAAAAATTTCAAATGCATCAACCTGTATATTTGTGCAAGTTTTTATTCAATCAATTTTTTTTTTATACTAGAGACATAACGGTTTTTACGGCTATTTTTTCGGTTATTTGCACGTCTTTTATGGAACGGCTTAATTCGCTAAAATATCGCTTCGCCTTTGGAAACAAATAAATTGTTGATTAGCTACAAACTATCAAAATTAGCTTTGTGAGCATTATAATGAAAACGTGTTTGAAAATGAATTTTTCTAAAGAATAAATGGTGAACACGTTCGTTTTATAAGCAACGGTACCCTAATATGCGACATCCAAGGCCGGAAATATTTTCCACACTACGAGAACGTTTTGAGTCAAGTGAAGCAGTGGAATATAGTAAAAAATGTATAAATAATAGAAGTGTCACCAAGCTGGCAAATCAGTTGGAGGTTCTATTAAAGTTGCAAGAAAATCCCCATTTAAGTGCACGGCAAATTGGAGCAGAAACTGACATATGCAGAACTTGTATCATAAGGATTATTCATAAGCATAGGTACCATCCATATCACATATGCTTGCATCAAGGCTTTCGTCCTCAGGATTTCGCAGCTCGAATGGGGTTTAGTAGAATAATGCTAAATAAGGTGAGTGAAGACACTACTTTCCGGGATAAGGTTCTTTTAAGCAATGCGGCAACTTTTAACAGCATATGTTCTGTCGACAGGCATAACACTACTATGCGTCGCAAAATCCTTACTGGGTTAGGCAAATAGATTTCCAAAATAAATGGAGCTTGAATGGTTGGGAGGAGTTATTGGCAGACAAATTATCGGGCCTTTCTTTTTCGACAACAGATTAACAGGTACATATTACTTGAATTTTTGATCGAGTATTTTCTTTACGATGATGTCAACCTGCAAACTTGGATGCATATGTACTTCCAACATGACGGCGCACCTGTGCATTACCACAATCGTGTGCGTAACTATTTGGACACCTGGAGTAACAATCGTTGGATCGGTCGTAATGGGCCTATATCTTGGCCTCCTAGATCACCAAATATGACATCGATGGACTTCTTTCTATGGGGCTACGTTAAGAGGTTTATAGACATCCACCATCTACCCCGAAAAATATGAAGGTAAGGATTAAGGATGCTTTTCTGAACATAAGGGAGCACGTGTTGAGAGATGTGCACCTGTTATTTATCCAAAAACTACGGCTGTGTGTTCATCATGGTGGAGATATTTTTCAGCAGCTTTTGTAGATTAAGTCTTGAGTAGTACTAGCTGTTCGTTTATGTTGTTGTTATAGTTGTTTTTCTCTATTACGCTTGAAGCTGATTTATAGTGTTATTAGTCTTTATGCCAAATTTTTGAGAACACGTACAATTCGCGTTTTTGACCACCCTGTATGAGCAAAAATGAATATTGGAAGAAGTAACAAATAAGATAAAAGCTGAGGTTTTTAAGTATTTTGATACAAAATTCAGCACTCCAAATTTCAAAATGGCGGATTGAGGGGTTGCCGAAGCGGACGGTTTTTCTAGAGAAAACACCTCACATCTCAGTAGCTAATTACCAAAACCCCATAGTATGCTATATCAATCTTCTTCTTTTGAATTATTTATCCAAAGATGCAATAAAATTTGAGGCAATCCATTTAAAAAGTAACAACTTTGATATGTAGGTCATAATTCTGACAACCTGTATAATTGCCAATATTTTAGAAGTGCGCCCTCAAATGTCATGTATAACATGACAAAATGTATTTGTTTATCAGTAATATTCCGTCCACACATGGATGGGCCACCCTATATATATATATATATATATATATATATATATATATATATATATATATATATATATATAATTACAGCGTCATATTTACGTTATTTAGATGAACCCTCTTGTTGGTGTCCTACTGCACCCATATACATACAAGCAAATAATGACGCCAATTACTGTACTATACGTAGTAGGTGATTACGTTCTAGCAAAGTCTCAGCGAGAGATAATTCCTTTGGTCACGTTTGCAACTCCTTAATACAATACGTTATACTCATTTCGTAAACATGTATTATGATCTATTAACTCCCAATGGTTCTCTCCGCCAATGTAACCATTGCAATGTTTTTTTTGAGTATTCGCTAGTTATTTGTCCTGGGAGATGCACTATAGTATATGTTGATACCTTATCTGTTAGTCTACTTACGTCACACGAGCCCACCCTTGAGCTGCAACTCCTGTCCAACACCCGAATGCATCAGGAAATGGGTGGCCCTCACATTTCCAGAGTCTATCTACATACCCAGTAAAAATGTTCGTTGCATGAATAGACTGACCTAATGTGGGACCTGCATACAAGTATTGCAATACAAATAGCCAAACAAAATGTAGTGCCACCGATTTCTTGTACTATAATTGAGTAGCAGACTTTCATAAACGGCTATGATATGTTTCAGATAAATTGAGAAATGTGGCAAAAACTGCCGAAAAGCAGCGGCAAACATACTACAAAAGGATTAACCGAAGAATATCAAAATTTCGTTCTTTGACCAAAAATGTATTTTGTTTAATGCGCTTTGTTTGTCCAAATGAGAATCCTTTTGTTTGGGAAGCGGTAGCTTATCCCAAATTATTTTTCATTTACCGATACAATGTTGTCTTAGAAGTACATTAAAAGAAAAACGATCAAACTTTCCCGCCGTCATCTTCGATGCAGTTACATACTCCTTGGGCATTTTCTTCATCACTAATCTCTTGCAGTTATTCAAGATGCTCTGAGAAACTTTGAAGAAGCCATTGCAATTCTTCATCAACACGCCATCTTTCTGTAGATAATTGCACTACAAGTTTATGCAGATTTTTTCAACTTTTTCCCTTTTATTTCATGATTTAGATACTTGGCAGTGGCATCACCGTTTGTGTAAAAGATTTCTATTATTACAGCTTCTTGTTGTTTTGGGGTCCGTTTTATCAAGATTCGCTTAGCATGACTGATTCGATCGATTTTGTTGAAGGTAGACATAGCGGATATCAAACCATGTGTGCTCTGGGGTCTAATAAGCTTCTCACATCGTCCAAAAATGTGGTCCGCTGGCAAGCACATCGTTGGCATGTGAACTAAGTGTGTGTTCTTGATTTGGCCTCCACAGTATTCAATAAACGACTTCAATTCTTCTACATTTTCTGGAAGTTCATCTTTCTAAGAAAGTCGTAAATGGCAGAGCCAACTTCTGTGGCGCTCCTTCTAGCTTGGTATTCTAGCCATGAATAGAAAATTGATTACTTGCGTGGTATGTTTGTGATACGAAAAACATACAAGAAGAGTATGTCTGTGGTACAAAAAAACATAAATGGCGTCTGAAATCGGGACTTTAGGGACAGATTGTACCCGCTAAAAATCGAAGCAGAATGCCATACCGTTTTTTCTGCACCATGAAAAAAAATGCTTAGCTCTCAATTTATGTACCTTTAGATTTGTTATAACGGTCTGCTTTTCACATTGGAATTTCACCAAAGAGAGCAGGCTTATCTGCTGCCTACAGAATCCGCAAACGTCGATGGCAGGGATACCGAATCCTATGTTAAAGTCATTCAAAAATAAAAAATGGACTAAAATACTTGTAGTGCACTTTATATCTTTATCCGATGCTATAATTGAATACTCTGTTCAGTATGGTTATGTTGCACTCTGAGGATAAATATGTTCTTTTAGATTTCGCGTTTCCGTAGTAACTCTCTTGACTCCCTTAAGTTAGCAATGGATGATTTTACTTTTGTACGTTTTTCCACATTTTTCTGTCAGCGCCGTTCTCCATCGCGAGTCTCAGCAATACCAGATCCAGCTTTCATTTGCCCAGAAATAGTTTGTATGCGCTTCTGACCACTATCAAAAACTCTTAAAACATTTTCTGGCAAATTGTTTTTTTTGCGGTTCTTAGCAGATGTTTGACCAGATCGTTTTTTTCCAGTTCCAATTTCAATCAAATGAGACAATGTCGTATCCTGTTTAACCATGTCTTTTTGTGAGCAAAACTTTTCTCGGAAGCGTCTAAAACTTTCGACAGGAATATTTTTAAATGCAAGTTTTTTGTTTTGCCGTGCGTAGAGGGAACTTCGAAACCGTAAAGTTCACACAAACTGTGAGAAGATTCCCTCAAATAACATAATTCAATATACCGCTGCCGCGATGTTACCCTCCATTGTCTCGATCAACTATATGCTCTTCATCCATGAGTAACGCTTTGCCAACTGTGCAGGATACGACACGATTAAAATAATACGGCACGTGCCCAAAGAGAAGGCTATACTAACCGCCTATACAAAAAATCTGAACTAACAAGTGTAACAAAGTCTATTTGTTTGTCCATACATGGAGATAAACGTATACATTCCAGCGACATCTTTTGTCCAATTTCAAAAAAACTATTCCTGACGCCCTTTGAAAGTCTGCTCCTCTATTATAATTTCCTACTAATGTTAACATGTATGGAATATTGTGGCGTCAGCAGCATACGTGCTTTATTGGCTCAGATATCGCATATCAACAGGAAGCTATATGCATCTTGATCGCTACTTCCCTTGTAATGGACGCGTAGATATAAATCAATGAATTATAAATTATAGAACCGAAATGATATATAGCTTAAACTTAAGATAAAGATACATTTGGTGAAACAAAGAAAGAGTAAGATAATTGGCATTTCCGACAATACTTTGCATCTTTAAAATTTACGAAAACTTTCAACACTAGTCATCAATAATGGTTATCCCAGATACCTGATTAACATAATTTTGTTCAGCACTCCTTCTGTTACACCTCTGCCAAACATGGGTGATAATAATAATCCACCCCTTCCAATATTAACAATGACAATCATTCCAACAATACAGATGCTGCCTCCAATTCCAGAATTAATTTTGCAGTCCTGCCGCATATCAAGGACCTAACGCCGAAACTTTCTAGACTGTGCAACACTTTAGATTGTATTGCTTACAAATCTTCCCTTACAATCAACAATATCTTCTTCAAAATGAAAGATAGAGTTCCACTTCTTAGCTTATCCAACATTGTCTATTGTATCTATTGGAACAACTGCAATCTCACATATACAGGTCAAACTTCGAGATTGCTTAAAGGTAGAGTAACCTCACATGAAAGTGATTCCAGTCTTCATCCAGAAAGATGTGCTCTGGCTTCACATGTCAACACCACACGGTATTCAATGGGGACTTAATGACGTCCTTGACAGAAAAACCATCCATTCAAACGTTTGTTCCTAAAAATGTCTCACATCTTTATTACTGCAACTGCATGAACAAGAAAGTAGAGATGTTAGCGTCTTCTACGAATATCTGTTGAACTGCGAAAAATTGGAAAGACCTCATATCTCTCCCAACATCGATCTTTCCCAATAATCGCATTAATTGCATAATTTCTTCGTCATTACCTAACACGGTGGAAGGATAACATCAAAAAACACCCTCCATCCATAATGATATTTATTAATTTGAAAATAGATCTTGAACTTCTTTTTATGCTGTAACCACCTTCATCTTAACACTTCCATACAAGGTAGGCAACACATCGTAGGTCTTCTATCCCTTTCTTATCTCTCTCTCTCTCTCTCTCTCTCTCTCGCTCTCTCTCTCCTTTTTCCCTTGATCGATGGTGTGTCAATAATGTGAACGTCACACGTCACTCATCCATTTCGTCAGTTTCAGCACGTGGTAAAGAGGAAGTGGTTTCCGGTAAAAATTATTGTTCGAAAGTTTTTTCAATAAGTTAATAAATCCGTCAGTGTTTTCTTGAAAAAAGCAAGCATACTATAGCTATGGTTTTACCAATAATTATTAATTAAAATAAGCTCTTACTAATTTAACCTCAACAATTCAGCTTTTTGCTCATTAACTATGTGTTGTCTTCTACTTTGTTCTAACAACAATTTCAGCAACAAATCTCACCGACTCAGTAAGTAACGATACTCCTTTCAATTATATATTGTTGCTACTTTCCAAAATTTGTCCTAGTCCCTTGACGATGATGGCATAGACCGTCGCAAGCTTGACTTTAAGTTAATGGCATACTTCTGCAAAACTTTTCTTCATCCCAAAGAATTTCAAGGATATGTATATATACACCTTAGGAAAAACCATTGTTATACATGGGAAATCATTGCTTGTGCTAAGTTCTCTGTGTACACAATGAATCTATATTAAAATAAATAAAACTTAAATTATGAAAACGGCCTTTAAAGCAATCTGACGGCATATTATATACCTAGCTCTCTTCGGGTTGCTGCAAAAATGATGTATATGGAGTATCTGCTAGTAAATGATATGCAACTATGTTTTTTGCGTGATAAAAAACTGTTTGAAATAACAAAGGCTATGGTAGAGTTGGAATATATCATTTAATGCGAAGGATCTCATGATTTTCTTGATCCAGACCAAAGAACCTGGTGATATGAAAAACATTTGTCTATGGATTTTGTATTCAAATAGTGCAGGAGAACCTAGTGTAAAATATGACTCAACAACAACGATAAGTAACATAAAAAATAAACATGAATGTTGCAACAACAACGATAAGTAACATAAAAAATAAACATGAATGTTGTGGCACAGGAAAAAGGCTGGCTTGAACTGAAGTGAAATTTTTGCAGAGCACCAATTGAACCAGTCAATCTTATAAACAAGGACTTAAAGACCTTTGGTAATATAAGTTATTGCACAATATCTTTATAATACAATAAGAGTTTGTGTATCTCGGGAATACATTTTGGGGACGAATCAGTAGGTGTTCTTCACTAAGGCTTGACATTTGGGACAGACAGAAGAGTTGTTAAGCATTCTGTTCAGATCTATATACAATAATTTCTTAATTTCAAGGCTTTCTTATTTTACTACTTTACACGAGAAACAATAAACGTATGGGCCTACTCAATACGGTAAGAAATCAATAGGATAACCGAAATTTCTGATTCTGACATATCATACCATTAGCATCAATTATAGTCTGAAACCATCATGGCATGGAAATTCTGAGTTATTCTGGTCCAATTTGGTCCCATTCCTGCATATAACATCTTGTAGCTGTCGTTCGACCGAAATTTTACTTTTTCAAGCCTTCAGGTCCAGCAAGTAGCACAAATGTTCAATGGGATTAGTATCTGGGGATTTTGAGTTGGGCAGGAATATTGTGAAGTAACCATTCTTTTGTTTGTGTTTAAGATCATTATCCTGTTGAATGAAAGATAAATGTTTCCCTGATCCCCATTTTCCAGTGCTGCTCTGCATGTTATTATGCAAAATAATAGACTTGTCTGCATTCATAGTACTTTCGATGAACTTAGGTTTTCAACACCATTCCACAGCATACAGACCCAGACTAAGACGCTGTCCCACCATGCTGCATTGCTGGACCGACATACCTCATTTCAAATTAAGTATTTTAAGTTTTCTTCAAACATATTTGTGACCATAAGCTCCGAAACCTCGAAGATTAAAGTAAGATCAAGATGTAAGGTCTGATGGCGGCAAAAATGCATGGAAAAAAAATAATACTCAATTTGAAAATGAGACATATCAGCCCAACAGTGGAAATTGATGACGGGAGCGTTTTAGTTAGCCTGGGGCTAAATGATGTGGAATGGTGTTGGATATCTAAGCTTCATCAAGGCATTATGAATGCAGACAAGTATGTTAACTTTTGCCCAAAACATGCACACCAGCGCTGAGAAAATTGGGGATCAAGGAAACATTTATGTTTCAACACACTGTTACTAAAACAAAGGAATAGTTACTTTACATTGTTTTTGCACAATCCTCCAATCCCGAATATCAATCCCATTAAACATTTTCGCTTCTTGCTGGACCTGAATGCCCGAAAAAATAAAATTTCTGCGGAACTACAGCTACAAGATGTTCTGCAGATATCGTTCCTGATTAGATCAGAATTAGCTCAAAATTATATGCCAAGAAATCTTCAGGTCGTAAATGATGCAAATCCTATGATGACAAAGTACTAGCTGTGAATAAATTTTATTAAAACTTATTTACTTGTCTATCTTGGAGTGCGTTGAATTCCATAATTCCTATTATTATTCTATTGTTTCTAATTTGCTTGAACTATTGCCATTAAAATTACTGTGTGGAAGTTAGCCTTCAAATAAATGTAGTGACAAAAAAATACCTTTTTGTTACTGAGATTGAAGAAAAAATGGAGTATGCTGTATGTTCTAAAAACTAGAAAATCTCATAGATGCAATCAATTTTAATTCAGTCATTTTCAGGGTCGAAAACCCACCCTTGTCCTTTGAAGCTTGATATGGGATAAGGGAAATAATGAAATAAGGGAGCCTTGAAGTAGATGATTATGCGAGGTAACAAGGAGGCCTCAGATTAAAAAGATTGCCTACTTCGTTGAGAAAAATCTGAAAGATATGTCAAGAATGACTATGCCTTTGGTTTTTAGACAATATGAATAGAATCTTGAAATCATAGGACTGGTCGAAAAATCTATTGAGAACATTTTAAGACAACTATATGCATGTATTTTAAAAAAGTGATGTACCCCAACAATTCTTAAATCATATAAACAAAGCTTCTGTCAAAACATATCTGACATGCATAAGGTGACATTTGGTTCTTAAATTGATATTCTATATCCACTATTATATAGAATTCTGACAAAAATATTTACAAGCTACAGAAAGATCAGAGGATAGATTCAATACAAATATATCAATCTACCCACTGTGTATTATGAAGCAGCATAAATAACTTCCTGTAAATATATTTGCCCTTTCAGTTGCTTGGCGCGAAAACGCTATTTGTATGATGTGACAAGAAGCAAACTCTAACCTCATTTACGCCGCGAAAATAGACAATAGAGCTCGATATTCAAATTTCCTAAATATAAAAATTACGTCTATAGGCACTTCAAAGGAACGTGGTATACTGATAAAATTACTAGAAAAATACTGCGTCTTATCCAGGAATGTTGTATAACGTATATGTTGTTTAGTTATTCTAGTATCACATTTCTTTATCAGACTATACCACATTAGGTTCTGCAGCATTTTGACGAACGTAGAAGAACCGATCGATCTTATTCCAGGAGCGTCTTTCAACGGCCTGGCACTGGTGCGAGTCATAATGTCATCATTGAACTCGATCCAGTCGTCTCTGAAGCAAGTGAAAAACGACGTTAAGTTGATTGCCTCGGTACTTCCCTATTTTTTTAAACACGGGACAAAAATTCAAGAAGTGATTCTTAAGACTACTCTAAGGGCCGAATCGTCCATCGTTCCTACAATATTGTAGGACGCCTTTATGGCCTCCTTGACTTTGGTAGTTTTTCCTGTCCTTCGAAAACGCAGGGTATTTCCAGATTTCTACTGTTTTGTGTCACCCCTCTATTTCAGGTTAAATTTTCTTTTGAATTCTAAGAAATTTCAGGCTGACAGAACTTCATCATCTGTTTTATAAATCTGAAATTTTTTAAGATTCAAGAAGAAAACATACCTTCACAATAGCTGACATGGAACAGTAGAAATCTGAAAAACAGAAAAGACTATGACCATCAAGGAGACCATAAAGGCATCCTACAATTGTAGGAACGACTGAAGATAGGGCCCTAAGAGTGCTCTGTCCGTTGACGATTTCGGAGATACATGACCCTGAACGGCGCCAATGGAAATCGGTCTATCTTATGGCCAAGTTCGCAGGGAACAGGGTCTATAATATAAATACCTTAAAATATTCCTTAAATAACTTGAACAACACCATGTTTCAGAACTATTTTTCAAAGCACAGCGTTGCCAGATGGGTCACTACAGAATTTCCCCAGAACAAGCACAAAAATCCCCCAGACTTACAACTTTTTCAAAAGTAAAAAAGGATAGGTTTGGTTCAAAGAGCGGGAAATTCTTTCTAGCTTAATTTTTAAGAACAATAGTTTATAGTAGAACAGAGTAAAGGAGGGTTGTCTGGCAAAGGCCACCCTGCTGTTATCTAGCTGTACTATAAAGGTCACAGAGAAGGCTCCAACATCACATATACAGGTAACGTCACAGAAATTCAACGTAATTTTAGGAGCTGTAGTAGTACCACATGCTGTGGTTTTTTGATCTTACCTTACATCGTCAAGTAAAACAGTGGCAATGTAATGGCCTTGAGATAGAGTTCCGCTATGCTGGACTACAGCATAGAGTTTATACACCGAGCTTAAAAATGTAGCTTGTCCGGAAAACTGACAAGACCAGGATGCTTCATTACTTCATATTTAGAAATTAGGACTCTGTAACAATATCTGTATTTTAGTGAAGGCATTTTGTGACATAAATTGTAAGGATAGACTAAATACTTGAAATACTACTTAAAAATATTTTGTCACTTGCATTAGACTACATCATAGCTTGAAATATTGATTTTTGGTCACTATTTTTTCATTAAAATATTCGCCTAGAGACAGCTCTGAGCTATGTATATCTGATGAGTGATGATTATTCTGTGAGATACAATTATTTTGTTCTGTTCTGTTCTGTCTATTAAATATCTGAACAGCTTGAAAACTAAGCAAGTACGCAAAAGGGGTTCCTACAAAAGATTCGAAAGACAAAAGAGGAATTTATTGCGACTTCTAGATTGACCTAGATAATGTCCTTAGAGGTTATTTAGAAGTCAACTTAGCAAATTCAAATAGCAGCCACCATTTTTGGCAAATGATTAACGATAAGTACGAGATTCTACATAATACAGACAAGCTGAAACATCTGAAAACTGTATAAACACTCTGGAAACTTGGCACCACCGCATTTGCCGAAAACAGGCTCCTATAAGAGATTTATAAAATCAAATCACCTCTAGTATGAGCTAGACAATGACCTCGGAGGTTATTTGGAGGTCAGCTTCGTAAATTTAAGCAATCACCACTAGTTTCTGACAACAGATTCGTGATCAGCACAAGTGGACAAATCAGCAGTTCAATCCGCCACCAAAGATTGCAACTATTGAATTCACAAACTTGGCTTCCAAATTACTTTTGACGTCTAAATCACATCCCTTTTTTTGACTTCCTGAAGCTTTAGCATAGACCCTTTAAAAAATGCGGTTTAGACTAGTTTCCGGTGCATTTGTGATCTTTGAGGCCTGCCCAATTGACCACTTTTGATTGCGTGACGAATATGAACACCAAAAATGGTAGATGATAATCCAAGTTTACGAGGTTGAACGCTAAATGACATCTGAGGTCATATTAAAGGTCATCGGTATATTATTTTTTTGGTCTCCTGAAACTGTTGAGAAAATATTTTTTCGAAAAAAAAATGTGTGGCACTACAGCGTTTGTGTACTTTGCAGACGTTACAGCTTCGCATAACGGTTTCTCTTTTGACACCGACGGAGCCGCGCAGGCAGAAGCCTAAATGGCAGGGCAATGCGGGTACTATGATGATCCCAAGGAAACTTTGTTAATCCGATTTTTGAGCTGCCTATGGTTAGTAGAACTGGAAAAGCCTCTCTTGTAGTTTGCTCCACAATCTCGACATCCTGGGATGGGAGGCGGAAGTCAGGCAGGTCTGTTTGGCATGCATCAAGGAGGAGAGCAAAGACAGTTGGTGTAGCGGTAGAAGAGAGCTAGATCGCCGTCGGCCCGGCGGTGCCAAAGGATCTGAGACTGTCTGTTAAAGATCAGTAATTGATCAGCCGGACGGCCCTCCTCTGGATAACATCGAGCATGGATAATGTAGTCCAGGCGGCATCACCTCAATCGTGTGAGCAGTACTCGAGGCTAGGTCTTACCTGGGTCTTGTATAGAGTGAGGAGGTCATCCGGAGAAAAGAACCTTTTAGACCTGGCTTTTTCCCACCAGCTGCCACTATTGACGAGATGTGTTCGAGATAGATCATGTCCTCGAAGATCTGGACTCTGACCAGAAATGAACGGTTCTTTGGCAGAACTCGGCCATCCATCGAAACCGGATGAACGCTAGCACGCCTTTCGTTCGTCAAGGTACAGTACTGTGTTTTGGAAGCATCAAACTGTATAAGATTGTTGCGTCCCAAAGCAGTGATAACCTCCAGGTCTATGGTCAGGGAGGAAATCGCTGCTAGTCTTTTTTCCAGCAAGGTGTTGATACTGAATTTTGAGAAGTTAACCTCCTATTATTTAGGTCATATTAGAGGTCACTGATATAATCCTTTTTTAATCTCATAAAACTTTTGCTAGACTCTTTTTTCGAAATAATGCATGGTTCTCAAATTTTTCGGGCTGTTCATATATTCAATAGGAGGAACTAAAGATAAGACGACTGCACACTTTTAAAAATCCGCAGTATAATCGTTACCTTTTCAGACATATAATCACGTATCTGGTCTACGACGACAGATCTCTTGTTCAAGACTGCACCAATGTTCTGCATATCTCGCACGGATAGTCTTTTTCAGTGGCTTTCGGCCAGTTAATCCTTGATCAAATCTTCTATTCACAGGGTAACTAAGTTCTGCCGCATGGCAAGATTTAGGATACCCTCTGTTTTCGAATGAACAAATCTTCTTTGGCAATTAGTGCAAATTTCTCATCCCTAAGTTGATAGTACGTTCTATCCCCAAAAAGCTCGATCGCCCTTGTAGAGCGCTATACCAAGCTTGTTCACTATCCGTCATAACCTAAATGAAAAGTATCGTTATCCCTCATCGAAAAATTAAAAAACTGTGTTTCAATGTTACTAAGCTTCTTCAAATGACATCCACATATGAAGGTTGATCCATGCGTCCTGGCTATCCTCATTACAAATGATCTCAGTACTCCATTTTAACAAAATACTAAGTTCATATGTCAAACTGGTCTGAAATGATGTGCTTTTTGATTCATGTGGGACAAGAATTTTGATAGAAATCCTCTTGAGCAGAGAAGCAGAATTATTTGCAGAAAAAATGGCGTCACGTAGGTTAACTAAAAAAAAACTTAGTTACAAACATGTACAATTGAAAAACTAAGCCGATCAGGTCAGTCAAACAGGCCCACACAATTGGTTATAGACATTCCTTAGCTGGTCCCTGGTTCCCATATCGTCAGACACCGCAGTACGAGCAGAATAATCAAGCAGACCGTCACGTCGGGCACTGAGCCCAGATCGCAGAAGGAGTCTCGTTTAGAAAATATTCTCTTTAAAGACAACCTATGGTATGTGATAGGTGCGTAGGGTTACCGGGGTTGGGAGCTTATACGAGGCTTGTTCAATAAGTACCCGTGTTTGATGGCAGAGGGCGTCCCTGAAGAAGGTTGGTTATCATCGTGTACTGCCATCTATCAAACGATGGCACAACAAATTTCAGACTCATTGATAGGTTGGTTTGGATTTGGCGGCCATTCGAGTAACACGTGTTTCGTGATTTTCGTCAAGATGGAAAAAGCAGTATCGTGCGGTAATTTGCTTTTTGTTGTGTAACGGTTTCACCGTCCGATCGTATTTATTAAATCACTTCTCGATTATCATTTCATCTCTAGCTTTTTTACTTGGAAACATTCCCGCTTGGAGCGCGCTTGATGCGGAGTTCCTGATCTGCGATCTTCCTCGCGCTTCTTTTTCACTTGAGCCGCCGATCTAGCAAGAGCTAAGAATTTTGTTCTCTGTAGCATGAGGTCATATAGCACCATGTGCTAGAATTTTGTAGAATGTGTGTCCGAATAGGACGAAATGGTGAGTTTTATAATACTATACAGTTTTATTGCTGGGTCTGCCTGTAGTTTATAGATAGTCGATATGTAAGTGGTTTATTTCTTGTACGATTTTAAAATATCCATCGAACGTCATTTTCGACTACTTCGATCATTCGCCATAACTTTAATCAAATCGAGGTAGAAATCGATCCACATCGATTTTAACTCTGTTTGCGTATATGTATTCATCATAGTTCAGTGAAATTATGAGTACGTTGATTATGAATATTCGATATTTGTGTTTTTATATCAGAAGCATGTGGAGAATTTTTGATGA